ACAGGTTGAACATATACCAACTTTCAGTAAAACTAGTATTGGAATTGAAACCTAGGATCTGCCTCTCCCTGATACAGAGACCCTGGATCCAGTATTGTGATGGTGTTTTATTGACAGTGACTGAGCATATATGGACTTGTATATTAGGTTACTGAATAATTTTATATAATGATCAAATAAAAATGAGAGAGAGAAATACTCAGGATAAGTGACACATACTTTGGCACTCTGTAGTTTTCAACCTAGTTGTATATTGACTCATTGTATACATTGGCTACTTGGTAATCATCAGACAATACTTGAGGTCGCACGCGGTGGCTCCTGCCTGTTATCCTAGCACTTTGAGAGTCCGAGACGGGCAGATCACGAGGTCAAGAGATCAAGACCATCCTGACCAATATGGTGAAACTCCATCTCTACTAAAAATACAAAAATTAGCTGGGTGGGGGTGGACTGTGGTTGTAGTCCCAGCTACTTGGGAGTCTGAGGCAGGAGAATCACTTGAACCTGGGAGGTAGAAGTTGCAGTGAGCTGAGATCGCGCCATTGCACTCCAGAAAACAAAATGTGGCAGTTGGAGGGAATGGTAATGGACAAAACGAATACTAGAGTTGCATCTAAGATCTAGAAAAGCTGAATAAATGCTATATTAAAGTATTAATTCTTATACTTTAGTTTTATTTTTTATTATGTAAAAACAGCTCCATGGCTGGGTACAATAACTCATGCCTGTAATTCCGGTGTTTTGGGAGGCCGAGGTGAGAGGATCACTTGAAGGCATGAGTTTGAAACCAGCCTGGGCAGTATAGCTAGGCAACATAAAAGTTTTTAAATTAGCTGGCATGGCGGCATATGCCTGCAGTCGCCTCTACTTAAGAGGTTGAGGTGGGAGGATTGCTTGAGCCCAGGAGTTCAAGGTCACAGTGAGCTGTGATCTACCACTGCACTCCGGCCCAGATGACAGAGTAAAACCTTGTCTCAAAAAACCAAACCAAAACAAAACCAGCTGCAAAATAAGAACAGCTTCCGAAGGGTGGAGAGGGAAAAAAAAAAAAAAGAACGGCTTCCTTATTCTGCAAAAATTTTTGTAGCCAGCAGTTGGCCATACCCAATAACAAAGTGAATATAGTCCATGTTTATCTCATTCTGCTGTGCAAGAACTGCTGTTATCATGCTGTGCTAGAGAATTATAAAATTAGATTCTTCTTTTAAAGCTTTCTGTGTGGTTAAACACACTTAAAACTAATTAAGAATATTTACTGGCTGGGCGCAGTGGCTCACGCCTGTAATCCTAGCACTTTGGGAGGCCAAGACAGGCACATCACCTGAGTTTGGGAGTTTGAGACCAGCCTGATCAACATGAAGAAACCTTATCTCTACTTAAAAAATGCAAAATTAGGCTGGCATGGTGGCACATGGCTGTAATCTCAGCCACTTGGGTGGCTGAGGCAGGAGAATCGCTTGAACCTGGGAAGCGGAGGTTGCGGTTAGCTGAGATCGCGCCATTACACTCCAGCCTGGACGACAAGAGCAAAACTCCGTCTAAAGAAAAAAAAAAAAAAAAGGAATATTTACCAATGTAAAAATAACCACATCAACCAAAGAGGGGCCTGGGGAGAGGGAAAAAGGAAGGAAGAACTGCTGCAGTTGAAAATAAATTGAGATACTTATCAGTTATCCTTTTCTGGGTCCTGATTTGAACAAACTTGTAAAATAATAATAATAATTGAAATAATTTGAAAACTAACAGGATATTACGTGACAGCAAAGTTTTTTAAATAGTTTCATGGTGGTGTGATAATGGTGTTAAGTTCTTATATTTTAAAGAAACATGCTGAAATATTTACAAATGAAATGATAAAAGTATCTGGGATTTTGCTAGAAAATATCAGCAAAGGGGCCTAGAGTTGAAACAGACCTGGCCATAGATTGATAAAGTAATGGCGAGGGAACGTGGCTGTTACATGATTCTCTACTTTTGTGTGTGTTGGAAAGTTTTCATAACCAGTTAAAAATACAGCAGCTGCACACTGCCCCGGTGCATGCAGAGTCTTAAGTGCTGAGTGGCTCTGAAGTTGATAGAAGGCATAATCACTGTTAGGTTCAGTTAATTTGAGTGATTCTCAGAAAAATAAATTTGATTGCCCTAAGAAAATAGCTAAAAGGCTTTTTCTACAGACCAGGGAAATATTATGTAGACATCGAGTTCTGAAAACTTCTCTCCTGTTGTAATTTTACTCATTTTATGGCTAGGATTTTGTCATGCTTGATGGAACATTTATACACAGAGAAGATGGTGGAAGATTGTGAACACCGTCTCTTAGAGCTGCAGTATTTCATCTCCCGGGATTGGAAGTGAGTATTTTGAAGCCAAAGTGAATGTATTGCCTCAGCCTGTTCTCCTGTGTAGTCATAATTACCTGTATTTATTCAAATAATCAGTAGGAAACTCTTTTTGTTCAGTTTTGGGACAGCTAACATACTCCAGTCTCCTGAAAAAGACTAATGCTTTATCACTTTCAGAACATAATCTAAAAGCAGAATGAGCCTGCTCCCATTCTGTACCACACATCCTTGTTCACCAGTACGTTGGAAGTCAGGGTCAAAATGTTTCTGATACCACAAAGACCTGTCTAGAAAGAATGATGGCACCTGTAGGGGTGGCAGAAGCACCTTCAGATACGTCTCTAGGAAGATAATAGTGCACTTGTATTTTTATTGATTTGCAATGGATATGGGAATTTGTTTTTATTTCTTTATTCAAAGTTATTAAGTCTATCTTAAGAGGTTTTTGTCAATAAGTGACAACTTCTTGATTCTCCAATTTCCTTCTCATTCTGTTAACACAAAGTGATGGGGATGGGAGGACGAGCCAGAATCACTGAGTTCGTTGGCTGTCATTCCGCCCTCTTTCCTTGTCTCACTTGCTCACCCCACCTCCAAAACAGCCAGTACTGGATCCGACTGCTTCTCTAGCTTTTCATGTCCAGTGGCTTCTCCATTCAGTTGTTAAGCCACCATGGTGTGGTAGTTAACTTTTTTTGGTGATTAATATATATTTTGGCCAGGCACAGTGGCTCACACCTGTAATCCCAGCACTTTGAGAGACCTAGGCAGGAGGAAAGCTTGAGGTCAGAAGTTTAAGGCCAACCTGGTCAACATAGCTAGACCTTGTCTCTACAAAAACTGACAATAATTAGCCAGGTATGGCAGTGTGTGCCTGTAGTACTGGCTAGCCACTCAGGAGGCTGAAGCAGGAGGATCACATGAGCCCAGGAGCTCTAGGTTATAGTGAGCTGTGATTATGCCACTGCATGCCGACAGTGAGACCCTATCTCAGAGAGAGAGAGAGAGAGAGTGTGTGTGTGTGTGTGTGTGTGTTTTGCCCTCACACTTTACTAGAAAGAGATTACCTGAAGATTCAATGTATTCTCATTTCTGTTTCTTCAAATTAGCTCTGGAAAGGACCACAGAAAGTTGGGCTATAATTTCCCTTTGCTCACTCAGGCCATCTAAACCTAAATAGTCTACTGAGTATATTGCCTTAATCTAAATCGCATTTTCTCGTCTTCTTTAATTCCTTCCCCCCTAATAAAAAAAAAAAGTGCTGCATAGTTACTCATTAAATATTAGCTCTTCGTGGTTACTCATTAAATATTAGCTTTTTTCTCCCATTAAATAGCCCTTTACCCAAGTTGACAATATAATATGGACAGAATTAAGCATGTCCTGGTCTGATTTGGAGAAGAAGCAGGCTCATCGTTTAATCCAGTGTGTCCAGATTCAGAGTTAAATGTCAAGGCTTATACATTGATAAGCACCCTCAAGTAAACCAAAAAGATAACCACCTTACCTTGCACGGGAAGAAGACAAAATTGAATAGGAGACTATCTTGCCATTTCCTGATCATACTGAGTCTAATATATTCCATAGGATTGAACTTCATTCATACTTAGAAAAAGGTATTTAGAGGCCGGGCGCGGTGGCTCAAGCCTGTAATCCCAGCACTTTGGGAGGCCGAGGCGGGTGGATCATGAGGTCAAGAGATCGAGACCATCCTGGTCAACATGGTGAAACCCCGTCTCTA